AATGCTGCTATTTCGGGCGAAAGTTCTTTCTTTTACTATTTCCAACAACTCCCAGGAAAGTTAAAAGGGCCTTTTCAACTAGATAGATGGCAATTACTTAGTTTTAGAACTAGGTACAAAAGGCTAATTTCTTTGTGAGTTGAATCTTTTGGTAGCTGAACATGAGTGGGATGTAAATATTTGTATCCCCCCATGTTGTTCAGGATTAGAAGGAGGTCAGGTCCATGTCCCCCTCCTGTGTACATTTTTGATTGGTATAGACATGGTAGAGGTCTCGCCAAATCCCCCACACCACAGGATGTGAAAACCTAGATGATTGGCTTAATTAAAAAAAAGGTGTATCTATAGTATTTCACTTATAGCTAGGCAGTAAAATAATTGGGCTCATCATATAAAAAAATAACTCAGTATGATAAATTAAATCGTCAAATCAATCTCCGAATAGCAACATTCATGTAAAACCAGATGTCACGACCCATTTCCATAATAGGTCATGAGGGCGCCTGACACCCTTGTCAGGCAAGCCATTGCAGAAACATTACTAAAATTCTTATGTTGCTTCTTAAATAGAAAGAAGTGGAATAAACACTTAACTTGGAATTTAAAACAAAAGAGCGAAATACTGTAAGTAATATAATTACACTACCCCAAAATAATCGTCTACCAAATTGTGTGCCAGAACCTGGTGTCACAAGCTACGGGCAACTAGTACAATATACATCCAAAAGAATATCATACTATCCTACTGTTTGAGTCCAAAGAGACAGAAAATAGAAATACAAAGAAAGACTTCTTCGGCTGCGGGTCGACATGGAGGGAAAGCAGCTCACCGTAGAAGTCCCAAGTCCGCTCACGGATACGCACCGGAATGATAACCAGATCCACCTGCCTCAGATCATGTACATTTAAGTACAGAAGTGTAGTATGAGTACAAAAACAATATGTACCCAGTAAGTATCCTGTCTAATCTCGAAGAAGTAGAGACGAGAGGTCGACTTGATACTTACTAGGGTCAATTAATATGCGAAGAGTTTATAATAAGCATGTATATCTCAAGCTATTTACATTTAATAATCATGGAGTAACAGTTCTTTCCCAAACACTAACAAGAATGCTTGTCCATAGTCTAAGCAAATATGTATCTCATCCCTTGAAGGATTTCTAAGAAAAACATATGCAAATAATCATCGTGGAACGTACGACCCGATCCAACATAAAATAAAATGTGCACTGCCGAGGGTCGAACGGCTCGAACCATAGATGCATCTATTACCCCGCTCGCGAATCACCCATGCGACGCGGTCAAATAGAAAATAAGCTCATTAACAAGCAAAATTAACAATTAACATGTATATGAGGAGTAGCCATACACAGAAATGCCCAGTATTCTCCCTTAAAGGACCAAACAGGATAAGGGTAATTCTCTAGTCTCATTCTTCTTACTCAAAATAGTTCATATAAATCCGAATTAATCAACACGTACTAGAATGTCACGTAGAGAATGCCTATGGGTCCTAGACTACCCGGACTTAACATAATAGCCACTACATACGGACTATCGTCATCTAGTGCGTACGTAGACCCCGAATATAATGACAATTAATTCAATTATTATACCTATGGGGACAATTCCCTCTTACAAGGTTAGAAAGGAGACTCACCTCGCTCCGAAGTGCACTTCCGATATCAAGAACAAGCCCAAACTCTCAATTTGGAGACGAACGATCACAAACTAGTTAAAATAAGTAAGAACTAGTCAATAAAGGCTTAAAAGGCCGAATCCTAACTATTTAACTAATTTCCCAACCCTTTCCACAAGTTTCCTAAATTCCGACCCCGGGCCCACGTACCCGGATTTCGAAATTTTTCGAAGGAAATTGTTCTCTACAACCTAAGGATAAATAATATATGATTTCTAGTCCATTTCATAACAAATTTCATGCTTAAATCTTAGTTTTATTAAAACCCTAGGTCTAGCTCTAACCCTTTGATTTTATCTAATTTTTAGTGTTTAATCTACCTAATATACATGTATATAAACTAATTATGAGTGGAAATAACTTACCTTGAAATGCTAAGTTGAAACCTTCTCTCAAGAGTTCCCAAAGCGCCCCAAGGTTGAGTGTAAAATGATAAAATGGTGTTTGAGTTCGAATTAAATGAAGCCTACTGCCCAGCGATTTCCGCTTCTGCGGCACCTGCGAAAAGGGAGCCGCATCTGCGGAACTGGGCAAAAGGGCTTGGACCGCTTCTGCGGCTTGGGCCTAAGGTGGGTGGACCGCTTCTGTGGTCCAGGGGTCGCATAAGCGGAACCGCTTCTGCGGCCTCTGGGCCACTTCTGCGGTTTCCCTTGGCCTGGCCCCTTTCCGCTTCTGCGATAGATTGACCACATCTGCGGTCCAAGAACCGCAGATGCGGTTATGACAGAAGCAGCAACTGAAAGTTGTTTTCTTAAATTTCCTACTTTGCTAGAACCTCGCTCGTTTGACGCTCGGGGCTCCCGAGCCCCGCCCGAACATACCGGCAAATCTGAAATCACGAGGCGGACCTACTCGCACCCTCGGAACACTCAAAACAACGCTAAATCTAGGAATCACCCCCTAAAACCAAATGAATCAACCTATTGAACTTCAAGTTCTTAATTCTCCTCTAACGGGTCAAAACGCCCTTAAATTACTCGGATTGGCACCAAATTTTACGGGCAAGTCTTAAACAACATCACGGACCTGTACCAAGCTTCGGAACCAAAATTCGAGCCCGATACCTAGGGAATCATTGATTACTTAGTTTCTTTAATTCTTTAAAACTTCAATTAAACAATTTTGATTAAAAATTCATTACTCGGGTCCCATATTTTCCCACGGACCCTCCGAAATTGTCAAATCACGAATCCGGGTCCGTTTTCCCAAAAAGTTGACCGAAATCAAACTTGGTCTTTTAATAAAATCTTAAAGAGGCAACAAGACATATTTTTTGCTCAGAACTCTTCCAATTCCCGAACCAATCGTCCCCCGCAAGTCGTAAATTAGTTAAAGCAAGTACAGGAGGCTTTATTTAGGGAAACGGGGTTCTAAAAGGCAAAATGACCGGTCGGGTCGTTACATTCTCCACCTCTTAAACAAACGTTCGTCCTCGAACGGATATAGAAATTACCTGGACTGCTGAATAAGTGGGGATATTTGCTCCGCATGTCCTCCTCGGACTCCCAGGTCGCCTCCTCGACCGGTTGGCCCCTCCACTGGACTTTTACTGCAGAAATCCTCTTGGACCTCAACTGGCGATCCTGTCTGTCAATAATGGCAACTGGCTCCTCCTCATAGCTCAAACTCTCATCTAACTGAATAGTGCTGAAGTCCAACACGTGGGATAGGTCGGCATGATACTTCTGAAGCATCGAAACATGAAAAACTGGGTGAACTCCCGGTAAACTAGGGGGTAAAGCAAGCTCATAGGCAACCTCCCCAACTCGTCTCAACACCTCAAAGGGGCCAATAAACCTTGGGCTCAACTTGCCCTTCTTCCCGAACCTCATAATGCCCCTCATGGGCGAGACTTTCAAGAGAACCTTCTCGCCAACCATGAATGATACATCCCGCGCCTTCTGATCCACGTAGCTCTTTTGTCTGGACTAAGCTGTGCGAAGCCTCACCTGAATCAACTTTACCTTATCCAAAGGCATGCTGTACCAAATCTTGTGCAAGTAACTTGGGCCTCACCAGGCTCAAACCACCCGATAGGAGAACGACACGCATCGACCATATAAAGCTCGTACGGGCCATCTCTATGCTGGACTGGTAGCTGTTTGTATGCAAACTCCACTAAGGGCAAGAAATGATCCCACTGCCCTCTAAATCAATCACACATGCTCTAAAGCATATCCTCCAAAGATTCTGCACTGTCCGCTCCGACTGTCCGTCGTCTGAGGATGGAATGTTGTGCTAAGCTCTACACGAGTCCCCAACTCCACTCTGTACGGCTCTCCAGAAATGGGAAGTGAACTGAGGGCCTCTGTCTGATATGATGGACACCGGTACACCATGCAATCGGGACATATCTCTCCGAATAAATCTGAGCATACTCTCCGCTGTATAGGTAGTCGCCACTGGAATGAAATGGGCCGACTTTGTCAACCTATCCACAATGAACCCACACTGAATCAACCTTCCGCCAAAGTCCGCGTAGCCGACTACGAAGTCCATGGTGACTGCCGTTCCCACTTCCATTCTTAGATATGGGCATCTGCTGAAGTAGGCCACCTGGCACTCTGATGTTCATACTTGACCTACTTGACAACTCAAACACTTGGTCACATACTTCACTATGTCTTTCTTCATTCACCGCCACAGTAATGCATGCCTCAAATTCACGATATATCTTTCGTAACTCCCGGAGTGGAATAGATACCGCGAACTGTGTGCCTCCTCCAGGATCCTCTTCCTCAGGACCATCAACATTAGGAACACATAGACGACCCTGAAATCGCAGAACTCCAATCCTCGTCAATAGAACCTCCTTGGCACTTCCCTGAAGCACTGTCTCTCTCGAGAACCGCCAAATGTGGATCATCGAAACTGTCGGGCCTTAATCTCTCCCAATAACGAGGACTGAGCAACCACAGATGCTAGAACTCGGCTGGACTCCGAAATGTCCAGCCTCACAAGCCTGTTAGCTAGGACTGGATGTCTAGAGCTAGGGCCTCTCCTCTTCTGGAATGAATGCCAAGCTACCCATACTCACTGCCTTTCTGCTCAAGGCATCCGCGACTACATTCGCCTTGCCCCGGATGATAAAGAAAAGGTAATGTCATAATCCCTTTAGCAACTCAAGCACCTGCATTGTCTCAAATTGAGATCCCTCTGCTTGAACAAATGTTGTAAGCTGCGGTGATCGGTGTAAACTCACAAGGCACCCCATACAAAATAGGCCTTCCATATCTTAAGAGCATTAAACAATGCGCTGCAACTCCAGATCGTGCACAGGGTAATTCTTCTCATGAATCTTCAACTGAACGCGAAGCATATGCAAATAACTGGCCCTCCTGCATCAACACACATCCCAAACCAACGCGTGAAGCTCACAATATACCGTAATACATCCTGCACCGGGAAGGCAACACAAGAACTAGTGCCGTAGTCAGAGCTGTCTGAGGCTCTAAAAGCTCTCCTCACAACCATCGGACCAAATGGAATGGGGCACCCTTCTGGGTCAACCTAGTCAGGGGGGATGCAATAGATGAAAAGCCCTGCACAAAATCGCCGTATAAGCCTTGCTAACCCCAGGAAACCCTGATCTGTCATTGAAGTGGGACGCGACCAACTCTGAACTGCCTCAATCTTCTAGGGATCCACCTTAATACCCTATCCGGACACAATATGCCCCAAGAATGCCACTGACTCGAGCCAAAACTCACACTTGGAGAACTTAGCATACAAATTCTGCTCTCGCAAGGTCTTAAGCACTACTCTTAAATGATGCTCGTGCTCTCCCAGGCTACGCGAGTATATCAAGATGTCGTCAATGAAGACGATAACAAAAGAATCAATATAAGGCCTGCATACCCTGTTCATCAGATCCATAAATGCTGCTGGCGCATTGGTCAAGCCAAAGGACATCACTAGAAACTCATAATGGCCATATCTAGTCCGGAATGCAGTCTTCGGGACATCCGAGTCCCGAATCTTCAGCTGATGATACCCTGACCTCAGGTCAATCTTAGAGAACACCCTAGCACCCTGCAGCTGGTCAAACAAATCATCAATACGAGGCAACGGGTACTTGTTCTTGATGGTGACTTTGTTCAACTGGCGGTAATCAATGCACATCCGCATAGTCCCATCCTTCTTTTTCACAAACAACACTGGTGCGCCCCAAGGTGACACACTGGGCCTGATAAACCCCTTTGCTAACAACTCCTCTAGCTGCTCCTTCAACTCCTTCAACTCCTTAGGGGCCATACGGTACGGTGGAATAGATATAGGCTGAGTGCCTGGGGCCAAATCAATGCAGAAATCAATATCACGATCCGGAGGCATGCCAGGAAGATCAGAAGGAAAAACATCGGCAAACTCTCGGACTACTGGCACTGAATCAATCGTCGGAGACTCTGTAGTGGTGTCTCGAACATAAGCTAAGTAAGCCAAACACCCTTTTTCAACCATGTGCTGAGCCTTCAGGAAAGAGATAACCCTGCTAGGCATGTCAACTGTGGACCCCTTCTACTCCAATCTCGGCAACCCTGGCATTGCTAGTGAAACAGTCTTGGCATGGCAATCAAGGACGGCGTGATATGGAGATAGCCAATCCATGCCCAAGATGACCTCAAAATCGATCATGTCCAGCAACAGAAGATCTGCTCTAGTCTCGAAACCACAGAAAATGACCATACAGGACTGGTAAATCCAATCCACAATCACAGAATCACCCACAGGAGTGGACACATGAACAGGAACAACCAAAGGCTCAGGAGAAACAACCAGAAAGTGAGCAAATAGAGACGATACATATGAATAAGTAGACCCTGGATCAAATAATACCGAAGCATCCCTACCACCAACGGAAATAATACCTTTGATGACGGCATCTGAGGCCAGTGCATCTGGCCTGGCTGGAAGAACATAGAATCTAGCTGGAGCGCCGGCTGCCTGGCCTCCACCTGACTGGGGAGTAGCTGGCTGACCTCTCCCTGTCTGGCCTCCACCTCTAGGACGGCCTCTACCCGTCTGCCCTCCACCTCTAGGTGGCTGGGCAGCTGGTGCCGGAGTCTGGGGCTGCTGACCCTGCTGTACTGCTTTACCCCGAAGTCTGGGGCAAGTCCTCTTCAGGTGACCCGGATCTCCACACTCGTAGCATGCTCTAAGCACCATAGCCTGCTGCCCTGAAGTCTGAGTCTGCTGACCCGAATACCCACTGGAAGAACCCTGGATAGCTGGTGGACGATAGGAACTCTCTGGCATGGCTCTGAAAGGAGCACTAGAGGAATCCTGATTTCCAGAATACCCGCTGGAGGAACCCTGAGTAGCTGGTGGGCGGTAAAAACCCTCCGGCATCGCACTAAAATAAGGCCTCGCTGGGGCACCTCGGGGAGGGGGTGGTGGTGCTGAGTGTGAGGGCCTGCTGGGCTGACCCCTCCCGAAGTGGCCACTACCCCTAGATGGGGCACCTCTGAACTCTCCTGAGAATCTAGCCCTCTTATCCTGCTGCATCTGCTCTCTACCCCTCAGACGATAACCCACAATCCTGCGTGCAATCTCAACCACTAGCTGGTACCCTGTACCCATCTCTACCTATCGAGCCATACCAGACCGGATGGTGGGATGTAATCCCACAATAAACCTCCGCACTCTCTCTGCCTCTGTGGGAAGTATCAGAGGGCGGAATGTATCGATCCAGGAATAATTGAGTGAACTGACCTCAAGTGAGGAAAGGAGAACCTGCTGGCCTGCCAAGTACATAGGACTGCCACCATCTACGTGCCCTGCCCTCAAGCTGAAAAGTAGTGAAGTCAACTCCATGCGACTCCAATATCCTCAAATTGTGCAGCCTGTCCCTGCACCTGTCCATGAAGTCCTGAGCATCCTCATGACGCTCACCCCCGAAGACTGGAGGGTGAAGCCTGGTCCATCTGTCCAATAACTTCTGTGGATCACCATCCACAGCTGGCCTAGGCTAGGGTGCCACTGCAGCAACTGGCTGAGCCCCATCTGCGGGTAGAACACCTGGAGTCTGATACAGTGCAGCTGCGTGACTTGGAGCCTGAGCAGTAGGGGTCTGGGCTCCCCCCCTGCCTGTGAAGTGGCTGGGTCTGCTGGAAATAAACCAGCCTGAGTCATAGTGTCCATGAACCGTAGCATGCGGCCCATGACCTCCTGAAATCCCGGTGCTGTCATGAAATCCGCCGGGGTAGGCTCAGCTGCGGGCACCTCGCCCTGCTCCTCCATAATAGGATCCTCCACAGGATCTGCTGGTGGTGCAACTGGAACGGCTCTAGGTCGCCCTCGTCCCCTACCACGGGCCGGTGCCCTCCCCCGGCCTCTACCTCGGCCTCTAGCAACGGGGGGAGCAGCTCCTCCCGGGTCCGGAACGTCAGCGGTACGAGTTCTCACCATTTGTGAGAGAATAGAAGAGGGAAATTTAGTACTCTAAGCACTGCACGACAAGAAATGAATAAAGAGTAGTCTTTCCTAATACCCTATAGCCTCTTGAGGATAAATACAGACGTCTCCGTACCGATCAACAAGACTCTATCAGGTTTGCCCATAACTCGTGAGATCTACGTGAACCTAGGGCTTTGATACCATGATGTCACGACCCATTTCCACAATAGGTCATGAGGGCGCCTGACACCCTTGTCAGGCAAGCCATTGCGGAAACATTACTAAAATTGTTATGTTGCTTCTTAATTAGAAAGAAGTGGAATAAACACTTAACTTGGAATTTAAAACAGAAAAGCGAAATACAGTAAGTAATATAATTACACAACCCCAAAATAATCGTCTACCAAAGTGTGTTCCAGAACCTGGTGTCACAAGCTACGGGCAACTAGTAGAATATACATCTAAAAGAATATCATACTATCCTACTGTCTGAGTCCAAAGAGACAGAAAATAAAAATACAAAGAAAGACTTCTTCGGCTGCGGGTCGACATGGAGGAAAAGCAGCTCACCGTAGAAGTCCCAAGTTCGCTCACGGATACGCACCGGAATGATAACCAGATCCACCTGCCTCAGATCCTGAACATTTAAGTACAGAAGTGTAGTATGAGTACATAAACAATATGTACCCAGTAAGTATCCCGTCTAATCTCGAAGAAGTAGAGACGAGAGGTCGACTTGATACTTACTAGGGTCAATTAATATGCGAAGAGTTTATAATAAGCATGGATATCTCAAGCTATTTACATTTAATAATCATGGAGTAACAGTTCTTTCCCAAACACTAACAAGAATGCTTGTCTATAGTCTAAGCAAATATATATCTCAGCCCTTGAAGGATTTCTAAGCAAAACATATGCAAATAATCACCGTGGAACGTACGGCCCGATCCAACATAAAATAAACTGTACACTGCCGAGGGTCGAACGGCTCGAACCATAGATGCATCTATTACCCGCTCGCGAATCACCCATGCGACGCGGTCAAATAGAAAATAAGCTCATTAACAAGCAACATTAACAATTAACATGTATATGAGGAGTAGCGATAAACAGAAATGCCAAGTATTCTCCCTTAAAGGACCAAACAGGATAAGGGTCATTCTCTAGTCTCATTCTTCTTACTCAAAATAGTTCATATAAATCCGAATTAATCAACATGTACTAGAATGTCACGTAGAGCATGCTTATGGGTCCTAGACTACCCGGACTTAAAGTAATAGCCACTACGTACGGACTCTCGTCACCTAGTGCGTACGTAGCCCCCGAATATAATGACAATTAATTCAATTATTATAACTATGGGGATAATTCCCTCTTACAAGGTTAGAAAGGAGACTCACCTCGCTCCGAAGTGCACTTCCGATATCAAGAACAAGCCCAAAACTCTCAATTTGGAGCCGAACGATCACAAACTAGTTAAAATAAGTAAGAACTAGTCAATAAAGGCCTACAAGGCCGAATCCTAACTATTTAAGTAATTTCCCAACCCTTTCCACAAATTTCCTAAATTCCAACCCCGGGCCCACGTGCCCAGATTCCCAGATTTTTCGAAGGAAATTGTTCTCTACAACCTAAGGATCAATAATATATGATTTCTAGTCCATTTCATAACAAATTTCATGCTTAAATCTTAGTTTTATTAAAACCCTAGGTGTAGCTCTAACCCTTTGATTTTATCTAATTTTTAGTATTTAATCTACCTAATATACATGTATTTAAACTAATTATGAGTGGAAATAACTTACCTTGAAATGCTAAGATTAAACCTTCTCTCAAGAGTCCCCAAATCGCCCCAAGGTTGAGTGTGAAATGATAAAATGGTGTTTGAGTTCGAATTAAATGAAGCCTACTGCCCAGCGATTTCCGCTTCTGCGGCACCTGCGAAAAGGGAGCCGCATCTGCGGAACTGGGCAAAAGAGGCTGGACCGCTTCTGCGGTCTGAGGCCCGCATATGTGGAACCGCTTCTGCGGTTTTTGGGCCGCTTCTGCGGCTTGGGCATAAGGTGGGTGGACCGCTTCTGCGATCTCTGGGCCGCTTCCGCGGTTTCCCTTGGTCTGGCCCCTTTCCGCTTCTGCGATAGATTGACCGCATCTGCGGTCCCGCTTCTGCGGTCCAAGAACCGCAGATGCGGTTATGACAGAAGCAGCAACTGAAAGTTGTTTTCTTAAATTTCCTACTTTGCTCGAACCTCACTCGTTTGACGCTCGGGGCTCCTGAGCCCCGCCCGAACATACCGACAAGTCTGAAATCACGAGGGGACCTACTCGCACCCTCGGAACACTCAAAACAACGCTAAATCTAGGAATCACCCCCTAAAACCAAATGAATTAACCTATTGAACTTCAAGTTCTTAATTCTCCTCTAACGGGTCAAAACGCCCTTAAACTACTCGGATTGGCACCAAATTTTACGGGCAAGTCTTAAACTACATTACGGACCTGTACCAAGCTTCGGAACCAAAATCCGAGCCCGATACCTAGGGAATCAATGATTACTTAGTTTCTTTAATTCTTTAAAACTTCAATTAAACAATTTTAAATAAAAATTCATTACTCGGGCTAGGGACCTCGGAATTCGATTCCGGACATACGCCCAGGTCCCATATTTTCCCACGGACCCCCTGAAATTGTCAAATCACGAATCCGGGTCTGTTTTCCCAAAAAGTTAA